AAGCTGCTTTTGCTGATTTACAGCTGAGTTTTGACTGGTGTCTTCTATTTCTCAAAGCTATTCGATGATCCTTTGCTGAACTATTATACTTTGTGAGGACTGAATGCCGTGCCGTGCTGTGAATCAGCAGCAGGGCAAGCCATATGTTAGCCTGATCTTGTAAAGTGCTGGGCAGCCTGAGCACCCTGGTGAGGCTTAGCTTCTCTCACCTTTGGGTTCAGGTTTCCAAGCTGTTTATTATGCAAACTGAAGCCTGTAGGACTGTAACATTTACTAGATTGCTGGAGAACTGTTTTGTAGGAAGATGACATGCATATGTAGACAGAGCTGCATAAAACTGTTGTACCAGGACCCAGTTCTTTCTGTGCTGTGCCTGGTTTTGAAGGTAAACATGTTCCCTAGTTCTGGCTGCAACTGCCTCACGGACCTCCTCCTTCAACCACTTACCTGTTTGTTTTTCTCATTTACGAGGCATTAAGCTTTCCCAGATGTAAGCCAAATTTTATTACATGTCATTCTGCACGTACAGGGTGCGTGAATCAATACCTTTACCAGTATCTTACTTGTTTACTTGAAGAAGCCTTTGGTAGTTCTGTGTTCTGGTTGCTTGCAGAGTTTTAAAAATGCCAGGTTTAGCTGGAGTAGGGAAGTAGCTTTGCAGAAAGTTTCATTATATTGGGATTGGAATCGGACATGCTGGAATAGCTCTCTGTCTTTAGAAGTTAATTTATAGCTCAACTTAATCCTTTGCATGCCCTCAAATCTGGACTTTGTTAGATGACTGTCTATAGAAATATCTTATGACTTCAATGCCCTCAGAGTTTATTTTGGAAAAATACAAAAAGGGACCCTAAAAAAGGGTGGACTGTGTCACTACTAGTAAATGGTTGACAGCATGGAGATTTTATTACAAACAGGTTACAGAAAAATCATACTCTCTTCTGATGATACAGCAGCTTGGTGAATAAAAGTGATAATGAAGAAGGTGGAATCAACCCAGAAAAATCACATGCGTTTGCTTTGGCACTACATTAGAAATAACAGTTGGACATTTTCTTGCTGGCTTATTTGTAGGCAGGGTGAGGTACTGAAATAACTTGAGAATTAAACAGTGTTCTTTAATCTGTTTTTCCTTTCTGATAGGTTAATGCTAGATTGAGGACACTACTTCCATTATGTTATCTATGTGAGCTGGTGTTAGTGAACTTTATAAAAATCTTTTCCTAGTGCTAACATGCCAGCCAAGGTTAAAAAAGAAAAAAAAGTCAGCACATCTGTAACCGTAACTGATTGCTTGATACCTATTTGCCTATAGTCATTCTTCTTTCCTTACAGTGTACTGTTTTACATTAATGCTGCAATTATGTTTTCCCTGCTAAATAAAATCATGTAATGAAAATGAATGTATTTGTGAGGCCCAGTACTGGTTAATTTTGCCATCATTTAGAATACTTTGATTTCTGTTCAAGACTTTATTGGGTTTCTGCCTGATTCATCATCTCATCAATAGCTCTCCCACTCCAGAAATGCTTGATGAATTCTGAAATGTCAAAGTAATGTAGAAGAGGTGTGAGCAAGCAGTCGGGATTGTGTAGTAGCTTTTCTTTTGCAGATTGTATAGTAGCTTTTTCTTTTTGGTATACTGAATTTTAGTCAATTCAGGATTAAAGACGTGCATATTACTTATTCCATGGGAAAATGTCTTGGAAATAGATTAAAACCTGTTAGAATAATTTGCCTGGATTTAGCGGATATGTCAATTGAAGCAATGCAAATAACTTTTAAGTCTTGAGACTGATTAGTACGGGGGGGGGGAGGGGAAGGCTGATTAGGAAGAAATGGGAGGATTAAAGCAAACTTTCCCAGATTAGTGTGCTTAGCAATGCAGTATTACCACTAGGTCAGCAGAGCACTTTGCCTGCTTCCTGTTCATTATGCAATGCGACTGTGTGTCAGTTTACTGGCTTAATTTGTTTTGTTTACAATGGCTTGGGGGTGTGTGTATGTTTGGGTTTTGTAATTTTTTTTTTTTCCTAGTGATATAATGAATGATTTTGTACCTCTAATGGGAACAAAGTCTGGCAGAGGTTGGGAAGGAGGATGAAGGACCCAGGATTAACTCTTCCACATGGTTAGGGATTGAGTAACAAGTTTGTGGTGTTCTGACACAAAGAACCAAACCTATAAATGAAAAATGTGACCTGCTGGTATCAATGGGATATCAGTGATATGTGGAACTGTTGTCCCAAAATCCTGAAGTAAATTTTATGTGAGACCCTTCCGTCAACTTGTTCTGTACCTGGAGTAGCATGCCATGAATGTCTGCTTGGGGTCTATATGTGACTGTTGTCACCTGTTAATATACTTGATATGATGTTGTTAACTTACACATCTTTGAGACCCTCGGGGTTTATATATTCCCCCATTACCCTGTCACATACTGGAGACTGCCCCTGGGGAGTGGTGATCACTGGGAGATGCTTCTTCCACACACCTCTTTGCATTGCCCATCCTCAAATTGTCCCACACAGATGAGTAATGATGTTCTTTGTTACTCATTGGATATTGGGTGAGGAGGTTGAGGATCTGTTAGTCTTTAAGAAACAAACAGGCTGAAGCTTTGAGGGTGGCTAACACAAAGGAATAGGATGCCTTTGGTGTCAGCCTGTTATTCTGAAGCTTCTTTTAGTGTTAGCAAGTTTAAGGCAGAGGCATGTATTTTTTTAAATTCAGAACATAACACACAATTGCAGACTTTGCAGGAATAAGTGAACTGAAACAAAAAGGGAAAAAAAAGAGGCATGTTTCTAACACTTAGTTAAGTTCAAAAGATTTCTCTCACCCTGACCCAACTGTACCACTGACAGATGGCATCACAGTTGCTGTGTGAGGACTTAGTCTTCTTGTAGTTATTACTCAGCTCTATCTTTGAGGTCATGTTTATGAAAAAGATCCTAGGTCTGAGAACCTCTGCTTCTTTTTGTAATCTTAAATTCATCTTTGGGCTCCACCCACATGCATACACACAAACCAACCAACCCTTTTAATGTCATCAGTCCACATAGAAAGAGTCTCATCCTTCCTGTCATTGCTTGCTAGCTCCCACTTTGAAGGTGGCAGTCTCTCAGGTGTTCTTACAGCCTGGGGGCAGATATTTAAGGCTCATTCCTATCCTTGCCTGAGCCCTTGACAAGGTTTGTTAATTTATTATAAAGCACAGCATCCTTTTCTGTCCACTGGCGTGGGAAATACTTAAGTGACAAGTGCTTGTGTAAAGCTTTTTCAGATTAAAAACCACACAGTCTTCATAAACAACCTGTAAATCTTGTGTGAATCCTTGGCACTATTACTGTATGAAAGCGTAATTCTCATTACTAATTGTTCTGAGACAAGAAACAAGAATAATCCATCACTGTGAAGTGAGAATCGTCATAGGGTGCACATAATCTGAGTTTGGACTCAATTCGGAGCCCTTGTTTGTACCTTGGAAGGCTTCTGCTCTCCCATCTCCAGTGTTTTAAGTTGCTCAGAATTACCTCATCCTTCTTTTTCTGCCGTGTGTTCACATACAGCTGCTGTTACCTAGGCTGTGGCTGCATCTCTTTGTTGTTTCTGAGCACTTGGGCATAGTTAAGACTCTGGCTAAGTGTTTGGGCCTTGCTATCCATATTAACTCTCCTTCCTGGCATGCCAGGGTGGTGTAGAAGCACCAGGCTGTAATGCAGTATGTCAGAAGCGCCATCAGGCCAAAGTAAGGGGTGTTTCAGGATCTCTGGCCCAGATGGTTAACTGTGCCATGCTCTGTGTGCTCAGGACAACAAGGGAGAACAGGAGAAAGCAAACAAACTCTGTCCCAGTTTTAATGGTTTTCTGTACCAGCCCCAGCATATAGGGGCTATTAAAGCAGTTCAGAGATTGCTGAGTTTCACAAACTCTCCATGGCCTTATGTATTTGGAGAGAGGAATAGATTATGGTAAGGTTTGAAATGAAATTAAATGTAAAGGGATCCATTTTCTGCATTACTGAGGAAGAGAAGGATCTGGCAGGGGTTAAGACAGATCCCAGTTACCCCCTTCAACTTTTTCTTTTATTCCAGTTTTAAGTCATTGTTAACAAATCAGGAATAGAGGAGTTGATACGCTATTGTTAGGAATACATTGGGTAAAGACTGACACACTTGTCTGTTTTTCTAGCTGTCAAGCAAAATTATAGAACCTCCCTATGAGTCCTGCTTTGAGTAAGCATGTCTTAAGGATGCGTGTGCTTTCATTGGCCAGTTTAGCCATGAGAATGCAGAATTATGTGCTGTTATGTACTCCTGTATCAAATTAAAAGCACTGTAATTACATCACTACATTCCCTGAGCATGAATGCATTATATAAAGGTACATCTACTGGTTCTCTTTATTGCTGTAGATTTTGGGGAAAGATGATTAACCGATATGAAACATTCTTATGCTGGTATGACAGCTTACATGCTTGAGGTTGGTCTAGTTTTGTTACTTTGGCAGAGGGAACACAAACCCAAAGCTAAACCCCAAATCCTACCTCTATTCAAGGTAGTTAAACTGTGTGTTGATTAGGTCTGAAGTGTGCTGTTCTTACAGCTTCTCTATGCAGGTATTTTGGGACTGGTTGTTTACATACACCTGAGTGTTTGTGTAAATAGTTGCAGATTCAGTCAAGAAGCTCCTAACAAAGTAGTAGAAACAGCAGAGCTAAAGACTGTTTGTTATTTCTATTAACATGTCACTTTTGTTTGTAGAATGAAATGTGTCTTGCCACACAACAGCTTTCGAAGCAGCTCCTTGCCTATGAAAAGCAGGTATGTTCAACATATGCCTTTATTTTTTTTTTTTTTTCAGCCTCAGCCCTTGCAAAGAAGTCTATGTGAATACTGTGGTTTCCAGAAGTGCTTAGGGCATTGGCTTCACTTGGTTTCATGTGAAGGCTGTTGTAAAATTCCCCAGTGTGTTCAAGGGAGTTAAGTCACTTCTGAGACTCTTAAAAAAAAAAAAAAGTGCAAAATGTGAGTTAACAAACTTATGAAGGTGCAAACCAGTTAGTTCCTATTGTATGACTATGACTTAAAAATGAGTATAATAAGCATTAATTATATGGTGTCCAAAATCCATTCATTTAAAACAAGAGGAGCAGGGTAAAATAGTATGTATTAATAAGTTACTGTTTTTCCATTTAGTTTTATCATTTATTGCATTTTGTAGTAGTATTCATTGCCTTCATAGTAAAACACATGTTGTATTTTGTACTCACCTTTATTGATTTACGGACCAAATGTGTTTCTATTTTCAGCATTTTGCCTTAGGTAAAGGAGATGAAGAAGTGATATCTACCCTTCATTACTTTTCGAAAGTTGTGGATGAGGTAATTTGAATTGCCAATATTCTATTTCTACAATATAGAATACTGGTGTTTTTTCTTTTGGTCTTTGTCCTTTTGATTCTGAGCCTGTCCACTGAAGGCTAGATTGTGCCTGGGTTTTACAGAATCATTTAATTGGCGGGAAAAGAAGTATAATACCACCCTTTTGTAATTGTTAGAGCTGTTTCTGTGGCATCATCCCACATGCTGTCCTCAGCAAAGCTGAACTTCCTAAATAGGGGAATTAGAAAAGGGACTGAAACAGGATGTTTCATCTAGGCTGGGGCCATTTTTAATTTTATTCCATTTAAAAATGACCCTTACATTTTAAAGCTTTAAACACTGCAATTTGAGCCAAAACCTGCCAGGGATGGATGCAGGGCAGCTGTGAATTAGTAAAGTTGCAGTTTAGTTGCTATGAGGTCGTGCAGAACCTAGAGGTGTCAGGATGAGACTGCAGAAATGCCTACTGAGGGCAGGTTAGGTTCTACTGCCGTTTGCGCTGAATACTTTTACTCTCTGTAAGGTTCTTGCTGAGTACTGAGAGTCTTTCTAAACGCTTTTGTTAGACCTGCCCATATAATATTTCAGTATAATCTTAGTATCTAGGTCCTTATTTCTTAAGTATCATTTGTCACATCACTTTCTGTTGTGAGCAGGGTTCTGCCATCAGAAAAGTGTCGTTCTTGTTAGTCTACCTTCAACTTTCATTAAGAAGGCAAAAGGCTGTATTGAGGTCTACTTTTTGGGAGGGGAGAGGAGATAGGAGGGTTGTGGGGCAAAAAATAAGTTAAAATTTTCAGAGCTCGTGGATAACACTAACGATAGAAACTCAATATGAGCCGATAATCTGTGCTCGCAGCCCAGGCGGCCAACCATATCTTGGACTTCATCAAAAGAAGTGCAGCCAGCAGCTCAAGGGAGGTGATTGTGCCCCTCTGCTCCGCTCTTGTGAGACCCCATCTGAAATATTGCGTCCAGCTCTGGAGCCCTCAACGTAAGAAGGACATGGACCTGTTGGAGCGGGT